TATCCGTAATTATAATTAACTCGTTTTCTTTTTATTATTATGATTAATATAGTTTATTTTTTTATATTTATAATAAATTAAGCTTATTTATTACTCTAAATAATATAAAGCTTCTTTATATATTATCATTAATAATAGCGTTTAATTACTATTTATAAATATTAAATCGGATTTATAGGTATACGTTATTATATTATTAGGTTATATATAAAAACTTGTTTTTACTTTTTACTTTTTATTGTTCTTTTATAATTAGCTTTTTTAGTTTTTTAATATTTATTTTTTTAGTCTATTTCTTTATTTAATATGTTTTTATTATTCTCTTTAGGCTTATATTTTATAAATATATTAAATTTAGTATTAATCGTATCTATATTCTTATTAATCTATAGTTTCTTAATATTAATAGTTTATAAAAAAACTTAGGTTTAGTTTAAAGGTTACTTTTTTAATTTTATTAAAATATATAAATATTTAGTTAAGTAATTAATCGTTAATGTAAATATCTTTAATAAACTAGTTATTATATTTTTATAAATAAAAATAACTATCCTTTTTAAATAAAAAATACTAAAAATATTTATTTTTAAAGCATTTTATTTAAAATAATTCTTTATAGAACACGTCTTTAGTATTAAATAGAGAGTTATTTCTTTTAATTAAATATCTTTTTAAGTTCCCCTATTCTATAAAACTATAAAGTTTATTTATTATTAAGCGGGTCAATATTCTTATATCGTATTTTGTTAAAATCCTTTTTAAAACTAATATTATTAATATTTAAAAAAGATTTATAATTAATTTCTATTTAGGTACGTCGTTAAGTAACGTTATAAAGTTTATCCGAGTTATATAGTAATTCTTTATTAAAAGTATAGTTACTAGGACTAGTATATAGCTCTTTATTAAGTTAGAAATTAATTCTTTTTTAATTTCTTTAAAATTAAAGTCTAGTTTTTTTTTTTTTATTCTATTTTTACGTAATGAATCTCTAAACTATCCTTTAACTTTATAAATAAATTTTTTTATTTCTATCTTTTTATTATATTATATAAATAGACTTAGTTAGGATCTATATTTTTTATATTAATATCTCGTTTTTTAATTAAAATATGTCCTTTTCGTTTTTTATAGCTATTTTTTATTAAAGCCTTCTTTTTATTATTATAAATATTTAGGCTCGTTTTAAAAAGTCGTTAAGTTATATTTTAATAGCTTTATAAATTATAAATAAGGTCTAAATATACTTTTTATTACGGTCTTTAAGAATATTTAATTATTAAATTATATTTAGTTTTTAAATTATAATAAAAGTTTTAGTTTTTAGGGGTATTCTAGGGTACTACTCTATTTATTCCTTGCTATTTTAATATATAAAATAGTTATTATTATAGTAAGCTATTTATAATAATTATTTATATAGGACTTCTTTATTTATAATATTAGCTCGCTTTTCTAGAACGGGTTAGTATTAAATATATTTAAGTTATTAATAAATTTTTTTTATATAGTAGTTTTTTTTCCGGCTTTATAGGCGTAAAAGATTAACCTTAACGGGATTAGGCTTTTAAAAGAAATTATACAATATAGTATATTTTTTAACTATATAATACGTATAATGTACCCTAAGTACGTATTTAACTTAGTATAGTGATTTCGATATAAAAACCGCTATATAATTCGGGATAAATAAGTTACTCTATTTATTACGTAGCGGCGCCGGCTAAAAAGGTTAACCGTAGAGGTCGGCTATAAAGGTCGGTTATAAAGGTTAGAGGCGGCTTTTTTTAACTATAGAAGTTCTAAACTTAAATAGCGACGTAGAGGTTTCTAGAGAAAGGGCTAAAAGGGTTAATATCTAGCTACTCTTTGTATTAAAGCTCGTAAAGATTCTTTTTATTTTTATTACTTCCTATATTATCTATAAGCTCTATTTAAACTAAATAAACTACTAAACAAACTTATTAAACGAACCTATTAATACATAAACCACTAGTCTATATCTAATATATAGTTAGTAATTAACGGGCTAGGACTCTTTAATAATGCCCCTCGATAAGTCTGCCCCCTTCGGACTAGGCCCTTTTTTTAACTAGCTCGACGCCGTAGCTATTATAATTAACGTAAATACATTTAAAAAATAATAAAGTACTTTTTAATAATATAGAATTTAGCTAAATAACGGTATAAACGTTATAAATAGCCGGGCTAATATTAATATTAAAATCTAATATATTGACGCTAGCCTAGTTATAATAGTTAAAATAAGCGGGCTAGAAATATATAGGGTTAAAGTAATAAACTAGTATTTAAAACGGCTTTTATAAGCCCCCCCGGGTAATAATAATATTTATATAAAAAAAAAAGATTATATTAGACCTAGCTATTTATGCGGGCTAGTACTAAGAGGTTTTATATATATTAGAGTAAATAAAGCTCGCCCTTTAAATAGCTAAAATAACGTAGTAAAAGGTCGGGAGCTGTTAATAAAAAGAGAAAATAGTTAAGTTGGTTAATTTTAGTTAGTAGTTAGGTTTAGAGCGTAATATACTTAGTTTTCTTTAATATGTAATATACGGTACGGCCCCGGCGGATTGCTCCGTCGGGGGGTAATCTTTTATTATATACCTTAATTAATTATAGTTATAGTATTTAAAGTCCTTTTTTTTTTATTAAGTTTATTCTTTTTTAATAGTACTAAGGTCTATAGGTCCGCTATAATATTTGTTTATAGTAGTTATTAATCTATATTTATATTTAATATTAAGTTTAGTTCGGTTATTTTAAGCGTTCTAACTTTTACGTTTAAAGCGTCGTTTATAAAGTCGATTATTAATTTTAACTATTATATTAATATATTTATAAAGTTCTTTTAATTAGTTTTATTAAAAGAGTTCGTTTTTAACTTTTTTTTTAAATTATAATAAAAAGCTATTATAAATATTTCGTTATTTTAATTAAGTTTAAAAGTAATTTATCGGAATTCTAAAATATTTTATTAACTAAGCCTTTTTAAATAAAAGTTATAAGTTTTTATTTAGTAATTCGTTTTTTATTAAGGTTATTAAAAGTTTTTTTAAGTTTTTTTTTAAATTAGTATAATTATTAAAAATCTTTTTAATATCGTTTTTTTAAAGTCTACGTTTATTTTTTAAATAGGTTTTTATAAATAGCTCGAACTAAATAAAGGTATTTTTTTAAAAAAATAAAGCTATATAGTAAACTTTATTTATTTTAATAATAAAAAAGGTTTTATAATAATATAAATAAGCCTAGTTTAGTAAAAAATCTAGTTTAAAGTATTTAGCTCTAAATATTAAAAGTAGTCGGGTATTATAAATTAAATATAAAGCTATTCGTTTTTATTTTTAAGCTCGAGTATTATATTATATAACTATTAAATAATAAATATAGCTACTTTAATAATTTATATATACTATTATTATTAATAATTAATATATTTATATTATTTAGTTAGTCTTTTATAAAATAAACTTATTAAATAAAAGTAATTAAAATATTATAGTTAGCTAGTTATAATAAATATATTAATAAAAATTAAAACTATAAAAATTAAATAAATAGTATTATAGTTATAAATAGCTTCCTTAAAACTATATTTATAAGTTATAAAATAAATAAAGTTTTAATAATTAATCGTAATTTTATTAAAAAGGGTTTTTAATAAAAATAGTTAAAAGTAATTATAAAACTTAATATTAAATTAATTTTAAAAAAGCTATAGAAAGTCTATTTTTAAACTAGGCTTAAGTCTATATTATATATAAATCTCGTTCCTAAATATATTCTTTATAATATTTCTATTTATTATTATTTAATTATTTATTAAATAATTATCCGTTTTATTTATTTACGATTATACGTTTTATTTATTTATAAGCGTCCGTTTTTTATTTTATTATATAATCGTAATTATATAACTTATTTATAGTTTTTCTATTCCGAGAGGGGTCGTTTTAAGTCCGTTACCTCTATATATATAGTATAGTAGCCGCTATAGGTTCTATAAAGTAGGCCTCAGCTTTATTATATATATTAAGTCGTAATAGTACTTTATAATTATATTTAATATAAATAAAAACTATGTATTTATTATATTTAGGTTTTTATATTAAGCCCTTTTATAGTTATATTTATAAAAACGACGCGTTTATAACGATAATTATTATTTAATATATTTTAGCTATAGTCTAAGTACTTAGTTTTTAATTGTTTTAAATAGTTTAGAAAGTAAACTAAATATTAAATTCTTTATTTTAATAAACTATAATAAATTATAAAAAAAAAGGTGTCTAATTATATTTAAATAATATAGTCGCGGTTTTATATATAACTTACTTATTTATTTTACCTACATATTATATACGTTATATATAAAAAGAAAAGTATATATTAATAAACTATTTAACTTATTATATCTTTAACAAAGGTAATATAGTATATTATATACTTAAATAGACTCTCTAGTTAATCGAGGTATATAATTCTATCCTTAATAATATTAAGAACTATTACTATAACTACTATTTTAATAGAGGAGGAGGTAAATACGGGATAGAGGCGACTATTTAATGGCTGGAGGGGCATCATGAGCGTTCTTTATATCGCTAGCGTCATGATATTTGTTCGTTCGCTGTTCCGACTTGCCGAGTACGTCGAGGGCAATGACGGCGCATTGCTCGGCAGCGAAGTGTTTCTCTACGTTTTTGATGCCTTGCTCATGCTCGGTGTTGTGGTCATTACTGCTTTCTTCCACCCGGCCAAGTACGTTCCAGGAAACAAACAACTTCTCGCGTTGCAGAGCATAGAACGCAGATCCTGAGCCTGACGCTCGGGAGGGGATTAAGAGAGTGTGCATTCAATCATTTGCTCTGCTTTGGTGACTTAAGAATTCGACTCTGCTTCAACCTCCTTTTAAGTGTAAGAAGCCGCTGAGATAAATGTACAATACATCTTTGTAGACTGATAGACTCAAGATCTCATTCTATGCCATCGAAAAACCCCTCATGATAAGGTTCACCGCCCGTGCCCTGACGAGTCGCGAGCTCAGACAAGAAGGGCGTGAGCAAATCCAAGTCTTTCACCAGCACAGCAACTTTGGGGGCCGCTAAACAACTCTGCCATGAGGGGCCGACGGCTTCGGTTAGCTTATCCATGTCTGCCGGGGCGACGTCTCGGTAAAACCACGTCTGCGGCAGCCAAGGTAAAAAAAGCGAGATAGTAGGCCATGACGACGAGAGCCCGTGACCGCTCCTTGCGGGCCATGTCAACGAATCCAAACATAACAAACGCAAAGGGCCATGTTCGGACTTTGTAAGCGATACAGGGCTGTCTTGCGTCATCGGACACGCGGTATAAGACATCGCACTCTGGACAGAAGAGCGCGCCAAATAGCCTCTTAATGCCCTTGACTGCACGCCGCAGGTCATCGATATGGCCCCAGTCCTCATCGTTTTCGTAGATGCCCATTTGAACTAGCTCAAGATCGGGCACAACGGTCACGGGACAGGCGTGACTGAAGTCCGCATCCTTGTCGCTCGTTCTCTTGTCTCCTCTCCCTCGCCCAGCGCTGGAGGGGACGCTCAGCGTCGTCCTTCTCCATGGTAAAATCGTTCGTGGACCTCTGCTCAAGGCCAGGTAGTTTGTTAACCAGATCCCCTTGTCCCCGGAAAATTTATCCGCGGCGAGGGCCGTGACGGCCAGTAGAATCGATGTCGCTATTACGGCCCGAAACCTACCATCCGGTCTCTCTACTATTGAGACCTGCGAGCTGCGCATGAGTTGTATACGCAACCGACGGAAGGCCTGACCTCGGTACAGGGCCAGTTGCGGCAAGCCGTCTTTCGTCGACTCGTCAGTGCTTGATAGGTGCAGTAGGGCGACCGAGAAGATGGCGTCCAGAAGGAAGTGGTTCTGGAAAGCTAGCTGGGGAATATCTAGCCGCAAGGACCGACAGGCACGACCCTCGAGCTGGAACGTGGCGGCGGATGATTCGACGGTGAAGTTGGAGTAGTGGTGTAGGAGGCGCAAATGATCCATCTCATGATTCGTATATCGCGGGCGAAGATCGCACAGCATCGGCTCTCCCCCCTCTTTCGTTACTCGGAAATGCTGCTCGACAGTGTTCGTTTGCTCTATTTCCTCAATATAAAACCCGTTCGCGGACGACACGTTGCTCTGTGATCTGCAGTTTGAACGAGGCGCGTAACGACAATGCGTCTGGCGCCTTGCACATGCCGAGCAGGCAGGCTTCTGTTCATTGCACTAAATGCAGCGTCTTCCTGTCAGCAGGAGATGATTACGTGCTACACATTCACTATGCAAGAGACTGCGAAGAGAAGAATTGTAGATAGAGAGTACGTGCCTTTACGCGTCTGAGTTTGCAGTCAATGCATCCATTCCTCGATTTAGTATGATGTCGTATGCCGTGCACCTTAACTACCGCGGGAGAAGGGTTCATTTTATACAAGAACGTATTCAACGTGTGAGCAGCATGGAAAATAAGTCGCTATGCCATTAGGCTTTCGATACCAGTGGAAGAGAACGCAGAATTCAGCAACACCTTGGCCACGCTATTCGGTGACAGAAGCCTCTGAGTTCCAATTGGAATCTCTGGCAGAGCTCAGAGGGATGTCTTGCAGAGGTGAGTGGGAGCTTTCCGATTAAAAGGGGGCAATGTTTGCTAAAACGCGTAGCCGAATACGTGTATCCGTATCCGGAAAGTTCCCGATGCCCTCACCATAACGCAGCTTGAGAACCCACCGTGATGAATTCCTTTGGAATGGTCATTCCTGAAGGCACGTACGTAAATGAAGCCGAAGATTTGTTCTACAAGACACTAAAAAAAAGTGAGAAGCTGCAATTATTTACATATTTGGTATACTGGACAACCACTCGATTATCGAGATGAGAATTTGAACTACGCTTTGTCTTAGTCGTTTCATATCTCCCAGGTCTCCCTCATAGTGGTCCATTACTCGTCCTTATTTCCACGAGCATGACTGTAATGCCCACTGTTTCTAAATCTGGCCACCACGTCATCAAGTCCAAACAGCTCATCGCTCTCCCAGGCATGATCCTCAACATCCTTCCATGCAATGAGGTCGTCCGCCTCAAAGAAGACGTACATCCGCGGAGATCCCGTGACATGCCAAAGCATTTCGTCATTCAGCGCGTTTCGTGTTTTGGAGATGACGTTCTTCTCACGCCCCACAGACACAGCATATGCTCCGTAAACCATGCCCGATACAATGGCACCGAAAGGAAACCCTATAGTGTAGATGAACTTGTTAGCGAGCAGTGGCGGCTTGAAGGCTACGACATTTGACGAAAAGCGAGGTTTCCCTGGCGTGCTGTTGAACACGAAGGCCCCCATGGGTCAATGGCAACCATTGGCAGAAACATATGCCCGAGAAGGCATACGGCCTCGTTCGATCCTCCTTCCGAAAAGGCATGAAGGAATATTGAAGGCCGCTTATACTGTGAGCTAACATCATTCCGGAGAAATTCGGCTGCCGGCCCATACACTGCGACCTTATCTTTAGTCGATCGGAATACAAGATCTTGAATCACTGTTATGGTGGCCACGATGGGCATATTTGGATATATCTTATTGTACTGCTTAGGTGGTGTACTTGACAATGTGCCTTGGGTCTGCGCCCGCCCAAGATGTGGGGAGTATGGTGGGGGGACTTGGCGTATAGTTGCTTTCCATAGAAGTGGAGGTGAGGTCGGAAGAGAATGATAAGGCTAATGTCAAATGCTGAGAGGCTTTGCTTAATGTAGATCGATGGTCCCTGGGCTCCAAACCTAAGCAGTGCCCATTTGGACGGTACTCTACCGATTTTCATGGAATCATTTTGGGAAGAATGTTGAACCTCTTTTGATACAGATAGGAATCGAAACTGAAGGCGGAAATTCACTAGGTGGTTTTTGTTTGGATCCTTTGCCTTTGATAGTAGTTCTCAAAGCCCACAAGCAAGTTTTCAAATTACGAATCGCTCATGTGCTTCATAATCATAGCTGGTAAACACCAATATACAGCGTCACAAAGATTATCAGTGACTACAAGTTGATCTTCCATTACCTCATCTGTGTATATGAAAAAGATCTAAACAATGATCTTGGAGTTCGTTCTCACATGGTGGCTTCCCTTATGATTCATAGGTCACTTCCTCTTTTTTTGAGAAGGCTATCCTCCATTAATCAAAACGTGGAGCATTGCCTTGAAGTGTTCAGACCCCGAGGACTACTGGTAGAGGAACCAAGGAGCAGTAGGAGCATCAGGGAGGT